TTTGGCAAAGTGAGAGAGGCCTTCAAACAGAGACCTGAGGGGTTGGGGATTTAGCTCAGTGGTAGAGCGTTTGCCTAGCAAGCGCAAGGCCCTGGGTTCAGTCCTCAGCTCTGAAAACAAAAACAAAAACAAAAAAACACAATTGTAAAAACAGACAAACAGTACACTGAGCACAGAGCATGGCTCATAGCTATGCTAAAGAAACCTGGCAATTATGTCAAAAATTAAGTATTTATGTTAAACATGCTTCCATTTTAAGTGGAGAATAAAAGTGTCACATTTATGTATTTAAAAATTAGATTTATATTTTATGTGAATGAGTGTTTGCTTGCATATACGTACATGCACCCACATGTGTGCCTGGTGCCTGTAAAGGTCGGAAGAAGGTGTTGGATTCCCTGGGATTGAAGCTGACAGTTGTGGACCACCAAGTAGGTGCTGGGAATCAAACCCAGGTTCTCTGCAAGAACAAGTGCTCTTAATCACTGTGCAGAGGCAAGCCAGCCTGGTCAACACAGTGAGTTCCATGACAGCCAGAGCTACACAGAGACCCTGTCTCAAAAAGTAAAAACAAACAGAACAAACAGAATAAAGAACTTGGGCTGGGGAGAGGGCTTGCAAGCTGAAAGCACACACGATTCCCAGCACCTATGTTGTTGGGTTGCTTCACAACCACCGGCATGCAACTCCAGCTCCAGGGGATCCACACCCTTTTCTGGCTCCATACCCCCGCCCCCCAAATGTAACTTCAAAGTAAGACAATAACCCGATTATTAAAATAGACAATAGAATATTTTGTAACAAACAGGAAAATACGATGAAGAGTGAAAAGGCAAATGTGCATTAAAACCACACATTCCCTAGAGTGGCAGAAATAAGACTGGCTGCAGGAAGTGGTGACAAGGACACACAGTGGCGGCCTTCTTACACACTACAAGTGGAGTTACAAATGCTGCAACCACTATGGAAAATAGCTGGCAGTTTCTGAAAAACCAAAATGCACTTAACAAACCAAACTAGCAGCTTCAGCAAGTTGAAATTAATCTATTTCCACAAGATGTGTGTAAAAATGTTTACAGGGGAGTTTTATATGTAAAGCCCCAAACCGGGAACAACTCAAATGTCCATCAAAGGTAAAGGATGTGGGAGCTGGAGACATGGTTTGGAAGTTTCATTGCTCTTGCAGAAGATCTGAGTTCAGTTCGGTTCCCAGCACCTACTTCGGGTTGTGTCTCGACCTCCAGGGGATCTGACACCTCTAGCCTCCAAACAGCCATGGTGCCCATTACAAACAAAACAAAACTACATGCATACAGCCTGTTTGTTTTCTAAGAGAGAAGAAGTCAGAGTTGGATGGATGGAGAGGTGGGGAAGATCTGGGAAGAGATGAGGGAAGGGAAACCATGATCAGAATGTTACATGAAACATTATTTTAAAAAAACTAAAACAATCACTCAATGGTGCAAAGGCACACACCTGTAATACCAGCACTTGAGGGGATCACAGGTTCATGGAAAGCCTGAGCTATATAGCCTCAAAAACCAAAACCTTCCAACCCAACCAATCAAACAAGTTGTGGGTGGGAGTTGGGAGGGATGGAGGCAGGAGGATTGAGTTTGGGGTCAGCTGGTCTACACAGTGAGTTCCAAGAAAGCCAGGGCTACACAGAGTCAGTCTCTCAGTCTCTCAGTCTCTCAGTCTCTCAGTCTCTCTCTCTCTCTCTCTCTCTCTCTCTCTCTCTCT